TGGTGATTAACATGGTAAACAACTGACCATTTGTGGTGCTTAATGAACAAATGGCCACATATTAACGCTCTCAACCCTTTGTCAACTCTACGCCTGTTTTTATGAACACAAAACTAATTCCCACAGCTCAGGCACTGTTGTTTCAGCAGTTATTGATAGTACCTTCAGCAATTGCAGTGACAAGTCATTTGTGAAAGAGCAATTTAGCACTTCTCTAAATTTGGTGTATTGACCCACCTCCAATTTCTCTGTTCTTAAAAAGTGGCCTCTTCTCAGTGCTGAATACGTAATAACAAATGGAGTGAAGGGTTAAGTGTTTCTGAGTCATCTCCTTGGAAAGGTGAAACATTAAAAAAGTTTGAAATGTCTGCTGTCTGCCAATGTTGCAAGAGGTTCAGGTTCTCTCAGAAAGCCAGCCACTGGAGTCGATGGTTCTTCTATGAAGTATGATGGAAAGGCAATAAATAATGTAGCACTATATTTCTTTTTATCTCACAGGTCTAAACACTAAGCTTCCAACAAGACCTGAAGCAGATAAACACATCTACAACCCTAAAAAATGCGCAGCTTCTAATGCTGAATGGCAACCAGTGGACCGCCGCAAGTTGCATGCTAGCTGGAAAACTTTGAGTAACATTACATGAACGAACACAGAGAAGCAACAAACGCTATTTGTAGTACATTTCTAGAGCGATCAACCTATTGATGTATTGTGTAATTGAAGTCAACTGGCAAGGTGTTTCCTTGTTTTGGTCAGGAATTGAAATTGAACACTGAAATGTTTTGGGTCTGTGTTCTAGTACTTCCAACACTGAAAAAATGGCAATGGGGGGATTGTTGAATTTGCAAAAATGCCTTTCGTATTTCCTACATGATTCATTTATGTTTCTCATCTAAACATATTTTAGTCTTGTGCCATTCATTTAATGTTAAAGGATGTTCAATCTTTTAGAATTAATCATGTTGAAATGTTAGAAACTAGTCATGTTTTCTCTGGAAACTCCGCCCCCTGGGAACACGCCGCCTCCCTGATCTTGCATAACACCAGTGGCGATATCTTGATTGGAAGAAACGCATACAGCCTGGCTGCTGGCCAGTGCGATGTCAGAGCGTCTCCCCTTCCAGCGGGGAGTGAGACAGGGAGTAGAACAGCGGGCAGTCCGCATTCTCGCTCGTGGCGAACAGATCCACCTCCGCTCTCCCGTAGCAGGTCCAAATCATCCGCACAGACTCGGGGTCCAACCTCCACTCTCCTTGAGGAATCCCCTTCCTCGAAAACATGTCCGCCCCGCAGTTCAGGAGACCGGGGATGTGCGCTGCTCTGATGGAGAGAAAGTGACGGTCCGCCCATAGCAGGAGATTCGCTGCTTGCTTGTACAAAGCCCTGGAACGTACGCCTCCTTGGTGATTTATGTACGAGACCACAGACATGTTGTCGGTGCGAATCAGTACCTGTCGCTGTTCTAGCTGCGGCCGAAAATCCTTTAGAGCTAAGAACACTACTTCCAGTTCCAAGTGGTTTATGTGCCACCGGCTCTGGGGTTCTGACCACAGCCCCGAAGCCGGCATGCCCTCGCACACTGCTCCCCAGCCGCGAGTCGATGCGTCCGTCGTGACCACAACGCGTGACGTCACCAAGCCCAGGGGAACCCCCCGGCTGAAGAGATCTGGGTTGTGCCACGGCCGCAGAGCTTCGATGCAGCCGCGGGAGACCGCGATGCGCAAACGGCCGAAAGTCCACGCCGTCCAAGGGACTCGAGATTTCAACCATAATTGCAGGGGGCACATGTATAGTAAGCCCAGATGACATACCGCTGCAGCAGACGCCATGAGCCCCAGCAGCCTCTGAAATTCCTTCAAGTGAACAGAGCTATCCAGTCTGAAATGGCGCAGGGAAGACAAAATGGCCGCCGAGCGCTCCCGAGAGAGGCGGGCTCTCATCTCTACCGAGTCGAAGCACACTCCCAGATATGTTATAGACTGACTCGGGGCGAGAATGCTCTT